TGTCTGTATTCCTATCTCATGGAATTTTTGTATGTTATAATACATTTATTAGCAGATGGAGTGCCCCCCCAAATTGATGGGTCTCCCACACAGGCAGAATAAATCAAAAAATTTTGATCAACCACTTCAAAGTCCGGACGCTTTCACCCCCTCCCTGTCCAGGCCTATTTTCAGCTTTCAGCGCTATCACACTTTGAATGACAATTGCGCGGTCATGCAACACTGTACCCATATAAATTTTTTAGCATTTATTTGAGACAGATAAAACTTTATTTTGGTGGTATTTATTCATCACTGGGATTTTTATTTTTTTGCTATATAAATGAAAAAGTCTTGAAAAAAAAAATGTTTTTCTTATACAATTTTGCAAATAAATAATCTTTCTTCATAAATCTTTATGAATAAAGATTTTTTTATATAATTACAACTGTCAGCATGTCTGTGTGAGTGCCTATATTCCACTATTTTTTGGGTATGCCCAGTGGTCCCAGTGTGCCTATTCATTTACCACTGTCTGTATTCCTATCTCATGGAATTTTTGTATGTATAATAAATTTATTAGCAGATGGAGTGCCCCCCCAAATTGATGGGTCACCCACACAGGCAGAATAAATCAAAATATCTTGATTAACCACTTCAAATCCGGATGCTTTCACCCTATTCCTGCCCAGGCCTATTTTCAGCTTTCAGTGCTATCACATTTTGAATGACAATTGCGCGGTCATGCAACACTATACCCATATACATTTTTTAGCATTTGAGACAGATAAAACTTTATTTTGGTGGTTTTTATTCACCACTGGGATTTTTATTTTTTTGCTATATCAATGAAAAAAATCCAAACATTTTGAAAAAAAAGTGTTTTTCTTATAACATTTTGCAAATAAATAATCTTTCTTCATAAATCTCGGCCAAAATGTATTCAGCTATCTTTTTAGGAAAAAAAATAACTCAAATTATAATTTTTTTAAAAATGTTTTTAGATTTTTTTTTTTTTTTAATATTATTATTTATGTTGTTTTTGTACATACTGTCACTCTAGCAGTACAGTATCACCATAGTGACACTGTACTACTTGTGGGGGGTGATAAAGATTTTTTTTCTTTTTTTTACACTGATTGCTTTTACACCCATAAAGGCTGTAAAAGCAATAATTTCTCCTTCTCTCTGGCTGCATTCTTGCAGCCATTGAAGAAGATCTGGATAGAGTAAGGAAAAGTTTAAAGTGCTGCCAGGGTTTTTTTTTTGCTCTCTAGTCCTATCCTGTGAAATGTTAGATTTCCCCTTACTTTCTATGCAGGTTAAAATAACCTCCAGGACAATTAGAGAGGGCAAATATTCCCATTTAAGACACAGACCAACTCCTCCCACTCTATTCTAAATGTGCAAACATTTTGTTTCTGTTTTAAATACACTTTAAATGTTTGAAGGAAATGACCATTTTTCTTCCAGCTATAAGAATAAAATAATATTGTTTTTGGTCTTCTAAAAGAAAGCCTAGCACCCGGGTAGCGAACAGGACATGTGGAGTTGGATGGCATTTGGAGCAATATTAAAGCACATTTAAACCCTCATCTTGGAAATCAACCCATACAGTTTAAAAACGAAATGGAAGGAAAAACTTGTGTGTATAGATATAAAAAAAATCATAAATATATACAGTAAATATCTGTTTCCCTTTTTTTCTAAGTGATCACATACCCTCTGTTCTCAGCTGCGTAGAGAGGTGAGGGAGGAGAAACAGCAGTACACTAAACTTCCCAGTGAATGGCTATGCAAGGGGGAGGTGTGTAACGACAAGCCTGATCAGTGGAGAAGAGCAGGCTGATTTCCCAGCACAGCTAGAGAACTGACCACACTGCGTTCGCATGCCTAGTGTGGTCAGTTTTAAACAGGGAAGCATAGGGACTGGCAGGAACACCAGGAACACCAATTTCACACAAAGGAAGCAATACAAAGGGAACAGGAGACTTTTTCATACAAGTACATGGTACAGCAGGCACATATCAGGAATATGAAATGTTGGATTTATATATTATTTAAGATACATGTATTGCTTCTGCAGAGACTAGCCATTATACTTGATGCAGTTTCATTCAAAAGTAAGCCCTCTCCCCATACACAGCTGAAAAAAAAAATGTATGTATATATATATATATATATATATATATATATATATAGATAGATGTAACGCCCTCCAGTTTTTATAGACAGAGGCTGAATTGCAGTCTGGGGATGATTCAGCCTGGGAGTGAGATAGTGAGGTTACCTCAGGATAGGCTAGGAAGCTGTAACAGGTCAGGGCTGGAGCCCTCCCACCTCACCAGAAGCCTGAGAGCTTTCTGGAGGAGGGGTAGAGGGGAGGAGGGGAGGAGGCCCAGATCTGTATGTTTGAAGGACCCTGGCCAATCCCCTGGCAGGAGGCTGGGCATGGTGACCAGCACAACCCCTCAAACGTGGCAGAGCCTGGGGGGGGAGGTGAGCAGTGTCAGGTGTTAGATGGAGTGAAGGCTGGAGTGTGGAGCCTGGGAGGGGCCCAGGCTAGGGCCTACCTACAGGCCATTGCAGGAAAAGAGACACTGTGCCACCATCTGTCTTCTGGGGAGGACATTCTGAGCAGCAGAGATGGAGCCAGCCCAGCAAAAGACCTAATAGAATCTTTGGTTGCCTGAAGACAGCCACCAACCCACTAAGCAGACAGGAAAGGACAGTGTGAGTACTCTTACACCCCCTGGGCTGGATAATAGGGAGAGTGGGCAGTCAGGTGAAAGATCCAACTAGTTTCTCATTCGGGACTGCTTGTGTTAATTGGCAGCTTCTTGGGCCCCCTTGCCCAGGGATACCCTCAGTGCAGCTGGGTGAAGAGGAGTGATCATCCGGGGTCTGAGAAGGTACACTAGGAAGAGTCTTTGTAGTTCTTCAAGGAAAGCGACTGTTGCTAATAGAATCTTTGTACATAGTTGCTAAGGAGTTTGTCTACAGTTCATTGGGCATCCCATATACCCATATACTTCATCATCCAAGTTAATAAAATCACAAAACCAAACTCAAGGACTGTTCTTTAACTCCAGTGTGCAAGGTGTGGAAACACATCAGATCTCAATGGGGAAAAAATACCATGCTGGATATCTATAATGAGGCCACCCTCATGAAGTCTGTTTCTGATTGTTTGGTCAGAGAGACATTCACACCAGTGGCCTGCTGAAGGTCATTTTGTAGGGCTCTGGCAGCGCTCATGCTCTTCCTCCTTGTACAAAGCAGCAGATACCGGTCCTGCTGATGGGGTTAAGGACCTTTTCACGGCCCTGTCCAGCTCTCCTAGAGCAACTGCCTGTCTCCTGCAATCTCCTCCATGCTCTTGAGACTGTGTTGGGAGACACAGCAAACCTTCTGGGGAATGGCATGTATTGATGTGCCGTCCTGGAGGAGTTGGACTGCCTGTACAACCTCTGTAGAGTCCAGGTATCGTACCCTCATGCTACCAGTAGTGACACTGCAGACCCTAGCCAAATGCAAAACTAGTGCAAAACAGTCAGAAACGATGAGTAGGGAAAAAATGTCAGTGGTCTACACCTGTAAAACCATTCCTGTTTTGGGGGTTGTCTCATTGTTGCCCATCTAGTGAACCTGTTGTTAATTTCATTAACACCAAAGCAGCTGAAACTGATTAACAACCCCTCTCTGTACATATACATGAACATAGTGCCGAACTCCACTGATGTTTGTGGGACTCAAATGTTATTTTCTTTTTTTTTTCTGATCAAGTGCCTCTTTTTTAAGGCTAATTTGCAAGCTTTCATAAAAGAGGGGATCTTATATGTAGCTGGGCACTGTCATTAGGGACATGCATCAATGCAAATATTAAAAAAAATATGTGTGGACATTATATACTGTTCAAATACAAAGGGGGTATAGAGAAAATCTTGTATATATGGCATAAAGGGGCAATAATTAAAATACTTGTAATACAAATACACAAAACCTTTTAGTTGTTGCCTACTTACACATGGAGTTTCAGGAATCTGTCATTTAGCAGCAGTAGCACTACTGTCTTTACATGACAGATCTCTGCCGACTTTTGTTTTTAAACAAACAGGCCAGGGATCCTGGGTGACATTGAAAAACAGACATCACTCAAAATCTCGACACATTTGTCTACGAACAGAATCTGGAGAGTGATCTGTCATTTGAAATGGCATTAGTAGGGATAAAGTACTTGCTCCCTCAACTTTGGAAACAAGGTGCTTTGCAAGGAGGAAGCATTTCTACCCTCCCCCCCCCCCCCACAAGATACTCTCCTAATGTTAAAGGTTGGGGCCTGGTATAGTTCAGGGGGTGCAGGTTGCATCCCTTCCTGGCCACTCAGGCTTCCTGTCTGAAAAAATATGATGAATTTATGAGTTTTAAGAGACAGCTCATTGCACTTTTTTAACCTCTTTACCATCGCCCTATAGCAGAAATATTGCTACAGGGCAGCAGCGGTGAGCAAAATCACGTATATATACACATGATTTTGCGGCCTCAGCTGTCAATCACCAGGGCCTGTGATTACTCACTGGCGCCTGGTGATTGCCGAGCATCTCCGATGGGGCTGGGAAAAACTGTAAACAAAGCAGTTCTCTCCTCTGTCAGCTCCTGCACACTGGTTTGCATGGCTCTACTTACAGTGAAGCACTAACACAGCCCATTGTGTGAAACAGCACACAGTTAACCCTTTGATCGCCCCACATGTTAACCCTTCCTGCCCAGTGCCATTAGTACAGTGTCAGTGCTTTTTATTAGCACTGATCACTGTATTGGTGTCACTGGGGATGTCAGTGAGTTAGTCAGTTCCCCCAGTGTCAGAATGCCTGCTGCAGTCCTGCTATAAGTCGCTGATCGCCGCCATTACTAGTAAAAATAAAATTTAAAAAAAAAAAACCCAGTATAGATACCGCCAAGTGTGAACGCTATAACTTTCCCGTAAACCAATTAATTTACATGTATTGAGATTTTTTTATTAGCAAAGACATGTAGCAAAATATATTTTGGCCTAAATTTATGACAAAAATGTGATTTTTTTAATTTTTTTTACTGGACATGTTTAATAGCAAAAAGTCAAAAATATTGTTTTTTTTTTCTCAAAATTGTCGGTCTTTTTTTTTTTCATAGCACAAAAAATTAAAAACACCCTGGCAAAATACCACCAAAAGAAAACTATTTGTGGGGAAAAAATGACAAATTTAATTTGGGTGCAGCATTGCATGACCGCGCAATTGTCAGTTAAAGTAATGCAACGCTGTATCGCAAAAAATGGCCTGGTCAGGAAGGGGGGGGGGGGGGGTAAAACCTCTGGAAGGCAAGTGGTTAAACCCCACATCTTGTCCCCCAAAAGGAATGCGGTAGGAATTTGGAAATTGGAAGCTCCCTCTAAAATCAGGGACCCCCACATAATCACAACCCCTTCAGGTGAATAACTATGGGGTACATAGTAAAAAGTGGAAAAAAAAAAATGATGACTGAAATTTTCAGTCCGTAATGCATGTTTCATTGTGAATGTGAAAAAAATGGAAAGACTGTCCAGTCAGTGAAAGGGTTAAAAGCACAGACACTTGAAATCATATTTGCAGACAGGATGTATTTGTAACTTTCACACACTGTATTCTGAATTCTTGTATCATTAGGGCTCTTCCAGTCATTACTGAATCCTCCTGAGTTCACTTAAAAAACATGTCTTGGCTACTAAGAGCATACAGCCTAAAGAGACCCTGCCAGGCTCTGAAAACTATTGTATGGAACATTCCCTGAAGTAAATGAGGTTTTATACTCATATCTCTGGAGGCCATGTCTCCTATCTCCCCTCCGTTGCAGAGCTGCAGCCTCAACACTTCCAGGCATGTTGGGTTTCTGTTTCCCCGACAAGGACTGTGGTTCCATCATCTGACCCCTATGTCACTACAGGACAGAACAGTGATATAGGGACAGTAGAAAGGAACCACTGTGCATGGCGGGTGACATGGGCATCTGGAAGTCCTGGGAGAGCCAAATGCTGAAGAGACTACCATAAGTTTTGGCAAGGGAACGGAGGAATAGATAAATATGTTGACTCTTGTCTTGCAGAGAACTTCAGGTATGATTTTTTTTAAGGGTCACCTTAAAGGGAACCATCTATGATACAAATATGGGAACTAATGTTGGTGGCTTGTTTATCACTGTGCAGGTTCAAAATCTGTCATCTTATATGTTCACAACTTAGTGAGCCACTTAGTGTACATGAAGAATGCAAGTAGCCATCAGGACCCCTGATATGCACTAGCTTGAAGACTATGACTTCCTAACAGAGATTATTATTATTTATTATTATTATACAGGATTTATATAGCGCCAACAGTTTTTTTTCAGCGCTGTACATTACAGTACAGTAACAATACAATTCAATACACGAGGGGTTCGAGGGCCCTGCTCCTTGGAGCTTACAATCTAGGAGGGAGGGGGATAGTGGTACAGGAGGAAATAGCTGTGGGGGATGGAGTGGTGGTAGGAAGAGTGGAGGAGATCGGTAATTAGCTGAGGGCAGGGAAGGCTTCCCTGAAGAGGTAGGTTTTCAGAGTGCTCCTAAAGGTGAGGAGAGGAGGTGCTAGTCTGATGGATTGGGGTAGGGAGTTTGCAGAGGATGGGGGAAGCCCTGGAGAAGTCCTGGAGACGGGCATGGGAGGAGGAGACAAGGGAACTAGAGAGCAGGAGGTCTTGTGAGGAGCGGAGAGTACGTTTTGGGTGGTATTTGGATACCAGATCGGTGAGTAGTTTGGGGCAATATTATGATGAGTTTGGGTTCGGTCCACAATTGGAGTTTAGCTGTATTGATGGGCCAAAGAGCTGCAGGCAGGAGATTCCCCACCAAGGAACTGAAAGATGGAGGTACAAGGTCCAATCAAAGATTTTTACCTTTCCTAGCTGACTCATCAGTTTTTGCAATTCTTGAGAAAAGTGGTAACCTTAGAATAGTATTCAAATGTATTCATGACCAGGGTGCATCTCCCATTGTCTGCAGGCAGGTAATGCTGCTAATTGATGTAGGAGCTCTCTTCTCATGTTGGGTCAAGATGAAAGGTGGTGCTTTGGCACTGGACAAGACCACTGAGACCCTCAGAAGGAGTTGCTCAGACTCTTTTACTGATATGTGATTGTTACGCATTGAAGATTTTGCAGCTGTGATGATATCCACCACAGGAACATGCCAGGGTGCTACAGCAAAGTTCAGTCCTCTACCTAAGACTTTCTTCTTCCAGCTGTGTAATCTCTCTATCTGAAAGGTTTTTTGCTCATTTCTGCTTATTGCTTTGTGGTGTTTTGCTATCATTCTTCCCTACAATTCACATCTTTAACCATATAAATTGAAGGTTTAACACTTATGAAGCCTTCCCTACATCAAATATGTAACTAGAACAGGGTGGCTCACAACTTTCACACCTACAATCTTGTACTTGGACAATAACATCTGCCTTTCCATGGTGATATGAATAATGTGTTTGTGCTTCTTGGGTGGTTATAAATGTTAGGGTATGGTCCAGGGGCGGACTGACAACTCATGGGGCCCCCGGCAATAGGGGATCATGGGCCCCTGTGTCCTTGCCCAAACTCAAAAAAGCCTATTTAAAAGGTTCCAGGGGCATCTCATGGGGCCCCCTACTGACCCCAGGCCCTCGGGCAGTGCCCAGGTTTCAATGGTCAGTCCGCCCCTGGTATGGTCTTGGCACTGAAGAAGCAGCTTGGATAAGCTACACAAAGTCTTCAACATTGCAGAACAAGTCCAGCTGACTGTGAATAACTACTATGATCTACAGAAGTGAAATACAGTACATATATAGAAGCTGTCCATACAGTCCTGAGAGTTAAACAGCTCTTCCAGATAGCAAGGCAAAGCCGCCTTTTCACTTCAGTTAAAGAGGAATTTCAGGTATGCATCTTTTAGCTTGGACCAGCTTGGACCAATGTAACTATGCATATACCATATTTGGCCGATGCCCATGGAAGCTGGAAATCACTGAAGTAGACGCCACTACTCCAGTGATCTTGACTTACTTTCGGACTGAGCATGTGGCCTGCTGTATTGTGAACACAGAAAGTCAGCAGCTCAGCACGGGTGCCATTCAGAGAATGCTTTGTATTTTCTGAATGTAAGCAAAGCATTTTCTGATTGGATGGGGTACAGAGCATGACATCGCTGCCCTGCCTCTCCACCTCATCCAACCAGAGAGCACTTTGTATTAATTCAGAAAATGCATGTGGAGTGGCTGACCTTCTATGTTCAGTAAGCAGAGGTACAGTTGGTTGGCACAGGATTTAGAAGCAAGTGGAGATCACTGGAATAGTGGTGTCTTCTTCAGGGATTTTCAGCCTCCAGGGACATTGGCTAGGTATGGTATATGCATAATTACATTAGTCCAAGCTGGACAAAATTGTTTGAATATCCCTATTTGGAATTCCTCTTTAAGCAACACAGAGAGGTCACCTTCCAGCCTTTGATTAGACAGTGAAGAAGAACTGATGAGGGCATCCTTCTGCTCTCCCCTCCTGTCAGCACATGTGCATGCATCACACCTGATTGGACCCAGGAGGTTGCCCCTCCCTCTCCAAGTCTAAAGCCTAGTACACATGATCAGAAAATTATACGAAAAATACAGCTTTCAAATCGATCGTATGATAATCTGATTGTTTGTAACCTCTTCACTTTTGATATGAGACTAGTATGCAAAAAAAATGGATGATCATTCATTCGATATTCTCATTGTGTGTGCTGGGCTTAAGTGGTGCTATACAGAATATACAGTGGGAAAAATAAGTATCTGATCCTCTGCTGATTTTGTAAGTTTGGCCACTTACAAAGAAATGAAGGGTCTATAATTGTTTTATCATATGTGTATTTTAAATGATAGAGACAAAATATAAACCAAAAATCCTGAAAAAACAAATGTTATAAATTGAGTTGGAGTTCAGTGAGTAAAGTAAGTGTTTGATCCCCTACCAACCAACAAAAATTCTGGCTCCCACAGACTGGCTATGTGCTCATGTGGTAGACAGATTAGTCCTGTCATTTCATGAAGGTGCTCCTAATGACAACTCGTTATGTGTATAAAAGACACCTGTCCACAAAGTCTTTCTTCCACCTCACCATCATGGGCAAGACCAAAGAGCTGTCAAAGGACATCAGGGACAATATTCTAGACCTGCACAAGGCTGGAAATGGCTACAAGACCAACAGCAAGAAGCTTGGTGAGAAGGAGACAACTTTTGGAACAATTTTTCACAAATGGAAGAAATACAAAATAACCATCAATCGCCCTCGGTCTGGAGCTCCATGCACAATTTTGCCTCATGGGGTAAGGTTGATCATGAGAAAAGGGAGGGATCAGCCCAGAACTACACTGGAGGAGCTTGTGAATTATTTCAAGGCAGTTGGGACCACAGTCACCAAACAAACCATTAGTAACACAATACACCATCATGGATTGAAATCCTGCTCAGGAAGGCACAAGTACAGACCTGTCTGAAGTTTGCTAATGAACATCTAAATGATTCACAGAAGGATTGAGAGAAAGTGCTGTGGTCAGATAAGACCAAAATTTAGCTCTTTGGCATTAACTCGCCGTGTTTGCTGGAAGAAAAATGCTGACTATGACCCTAAGAAAACCATCCCTACAGTCAAACACAGAGGTGGAAACAATATGCTTTGGGGCGGTTACTCTGCTAAGGGTACCTTCATAAAAAAGTGCAGTGCAACTCCCTTAGAACCGTTATTCTAAATGTAACATACCACTATTAATAGGGAATAGTAACAAACATTCGTGGTAAGAATAGTCCCATCAAAACAAAAATCCATACAATACACCAATTAGCGTAAATATGCGACACTGTGAATATCGTCTTCATTTCACGCTTTGGTGCACCACCACCACACCAGGTGAAAAACTTGCTAACCTCCAAATGAAATCATTAGCGCTCTTCAGGATAAGCACAGCCTTTTTCCATACAGACTCCAATCTTCCTCTTAACTCTTTTCGTCCTCCTTTTGATCAGACATCCAGCAGGGATGATCTCATTAAACAAAAAGGCCAACACATAGTGCTCTCCATATAACACATTATTATAGCCCCACTAAAATAACACTTACAGAATAAAAGATAAAACTTGCATATAATAAGTCCACATCCAGCTCACTGCTCCGTTAGCAAGAAGGTGGTGGTGTGACTTCCCAGGCCCAGCTTCTCTCCCCTGGATGCATTGTGCCCCCTCTCGTGGCTTATTCAGAAGGCAATGAGCCGATCCACACAAGCCCTTTTTATAGCCCCACCAAAGGTACTGGCTGACTTT